ATGTCAACGTCTGCCCTGAGTCACCTGTGAGCTGTGCACCTGGTCTCTCTTTGGTTCAAACTAATGTCCCTGGGCATTGCTGCCCACAGCACCACTGCGGTACACACTCAAAAACACACACACTTACTCACACTAACACACACACAAATCCTATTTGTTGATTGATTAGAATAATCTCACAAGTTATTATGCCTGTCACATAGTTTCATAAACTTCACACTACCTATCTCTTTAACTTGCTCCCTGTCATTCCCAGAATGCCAATGTGAGGACAGCTCTCTCCCCATATGTCAGATGGTAAGTCAGCAAAAAGCTGCATCACAAGTCACTGTACAATCAGGAAAAAGTGAGCAATATCAGTTAAGTCAGCACTCTGATTTCTCTCAGGGGGAGGTGCTGGTCGAGGTTCCAGATGGAAGCACTAACTGTGGCTGTCCTCAGCATACATGCCGTATGTGTAACGCAAGCATGAAAGCTCACACCTGACACTAGTGTGACAATAGACAAGACGTAGACATTTAATTATATCTATAGCATTTATGAGTTACTTACAGTATAGTTTTATTTTTTCTATGGTTATGTGTGTGTGTGTGTGTGTGTGTGTGTGTAGAAAAGGCAGAGGTGTGTCTGTTCCAAGGGGTTACAGTGCTGGGCCCAGGCCAATCTCTGGTTCAGTATCTTGAAGGAGCTCTGTGTTACACTGTCCACTGTCTGCATCACAAAGATCCAGACTCTGGCTTCTACGCCATGGAAATTACCTCTGTCAACTGCTCCCAAAAATGTGGACCTGTATGTATCCAACACATTTAACACATTTTGATAGCTCACATAGACATTGTGAGAAGCATTTTCAGCTGTTGCATTTATGCACTTACCTTTCGTGTCATATTTTTAGCACCAGGTGTATGTAACGTCCACGGACCCTCAGGTGTGCTGCGGCTCCTGTAAAAATGTCTCCTGCACTTTCACCAACGAAAACGGAACAGCAGAGCTTTTCGCTGTAAGAACAAACACATTCATATGTGCTCAGTGCTCCCCTTTTTGAGCAGGACTAATTCTGATTGTGTGTGCAGGCAGGGAGTTCCTGGGTGGAGAACTGTACACGTTACGACTGCATGGAAACAGCAGTGGGAGCGGTGATACTTGCCTCTGGGGTGGTTTGTCCCCTTTCAATGACACAGAGTGCATTCAGGTCAGTACTATATATCTGAATTCAAGTCTGAACTCTTGCAACCATTTATTGTTTACATTCATAAGCCTAATAATTACAGTAATATGTCACTAGTGTTTTTCTGTTTTGTATGGATGCATAGATCAGAATTTCTAAGGCCTGATCATACACCGAACAAAATTATAAACACAACACTTTTGTTTTTGCCCCCATTTATCATGAGCTGAACTGAAAGATCTAAGACTTTCTCTATGTACACAAAAGGCCTATTTCTCTCAAATATTGTTCACAAATCTGTTAGTGAGCACTTCTTCTTTGAGATAATCCATCCACCTCACAGGTTGTTCAGTGTATGTGATAAAATCAAAATACTATGTCAGAGATGAACAGCATGTTTAACTTTAGATTTTATGTTTGTCTGACTCGTCTGACGTCATTCTTACTCTTTACGACATACAAAGTCAAATTTAAGTTTTATCTGCCAAAAAAAATATAAACATTTGATTGGTGTACTAATTCTATTTATTAATATCTTTGTGTGGAATTTTTTGGAGTTGTATGGAGGGTTTTCCCCATAAACTTTGTTTTCTCTTGCAGAATGGTGGTGTTGTTCAGAGCTATGTGGACGGTTGCTGCAGGACATGTGAGTCTCCAAATTTATTAGGTGCTTCTGGTAATGCTTTGAGCTATCAATCAGAGGGGGTGAGCGCCTTGTTGCCTGGCAGTGGATGAGCTTATTGGCTGAATGGTTGGGGGTGTGGCCTGTTGTAGAGGGCGGAGCTAAAGCTTGTTGTTGGCCTTTTACTATATCATATTCAGGAGTTCAGACAGTAAGATTTTGTGGAAAACCTAAGAGAAGAAAAACTAAAAAGAATAATATAATAAGCCTGCTGTCAGCATTTAATAGTCCTTGCTAAGTCAAAACATAACTTCCTGCGCTTGTGCTTTCAAGATAAATGACATGTGAACTGTTCTTAAGATATTTCCAAGTTGTGTGGATTAAACCTTCAATAAAAATGCAGTGGTGACATTTTATCTCTCTGGGGATTCGGCATTGCAGCCACGCCCGCTTGCCTGCTTTAGCAGTGACTTTGCAGTTTGGCCAATCATGGTGCTCCACGGTGAGCGTTTCACCAATGAGGATGGGAGATGTTTCAGGGGCTAGGGTTTGCCCTGCTGAGCTGCTCTTTGTAGTACATCAAATGGCTGAGTTCCTTGGCTGGCTGCCCGGAGTGACCCAAAAAAAGATGTGAAATCCATGTGCATGCCAGCTGCACTGATTCAGTCCTCTGTGTGTTTGTGTGTACCGCTGAACTGTGATGTCTGAACCAAACGTAACCATGTGTGTGTTCTTATGATGTTCTTTGAACTGGACGGCTGCGGTCCCGACGATGCTTCCAGGTTCTGGAGTGGGTGTTTTACCATTTACCGTTAATCCCATAACCCCCACTGGTAGTACTAACTGTGACACAGGTACCACCACCTTGCACTGTTCCCACTCAAAATGATTCTTTGGCATCCTGACACTCAGTGACTCATTCACTTGCACTTCAAGCTTTGTGTGAATGTGTGCGATGCAAGTTTATTTTTGTGTTTGTGTGGTTTGTGTTTTCATTTTCTTCCTCTCACTCTTTAACCCCCAAAACAATATAACATTAACAACATCTAACCTCTCCAGCAGACAATATGTAATGTTCAATATTTGATCAAATCAGAGCTTTCACACCAGTTGTGAGACAAAATAAACTCCACTGTTAACACAGCCATATAGTCAGAAAAATCTTGAGATCTTCTAGTCTTTTCATACATTCCAGCCCTTCACAGAATACTTTTGACCAGCTTTGATTGGCTTAAAAAGTAAGGTTAAGTATAGGTCAGTAGCCAATAGGAGAGCCAGATCTCTACTGTGAGAACTGTGCCCCCCCCGCCGTCACCCAACTGTCAATCAAAGCAAGGTCCTACTGCTTGGCAACAAAGAGCCCTGCTCAATAGGCCTTTCAGGGTTGTGTGAGTGACAGGTCTCCGTGGTAAAATGATCAAAAAGTGTGTTTGTGCATGTTTACCAGTGTGTGTATTTATTTGTGTATGTTTAGACTCACATCTTCATGTTTTCTGATGTTAAACGCTATGTTTTTAGTGATTTATATGAATTTACTCCGAACGTCCTGTGTGTCTGGAGTTACTTCTGTCACTCTGTGTACGTATCTTATTTCTGTGTGAACATGTGTGTAGGTAAAGAGGATGGTAAGACATGCAAACGTGTGGCCATTCGGACTACCATTAGAAAAGATGACTGCAGGAGCAATGCACCGGTGAGGGAAGAGAGACATGCTAGCATCAAATGACGAGGCTGAATTTCTGATACAAAATTATAAACTTTTTTTTAAATGACAATTATGCGTTGCCTTATTCCTCCTCCTGTCATCACCCTGTCTCCTTCCTCTTACAGGTAACAGTCTATTCTTGTGACGGGAAATGTCCGTCTGCCACCATATTCAACTTTAACATCAACAGTCACGCCCGGTTCTGCAAGTGCTGCCGCGAGAGTGGACTACAAACCCGCTCCATCACGCTGTACTGTTCTCGCAATGCCACAGTCGTGGACTACAACTTCCAAGAACCTCTGGACTGTTCCTGCCAATGGAACTAAACACAGGATCCAGGCCGAAAAAATTGATGAACGCATAACAAATGAAGAGAATGTATGAATTGAAAATAACTGATGGATTGTTTTCAAGTAGTTTTGCACATTAGTCTTTATTTTCTTTAAGACCTGCTGTGCCAACCCAGTCAGCTTTCTAGTGCTTCCAAGTGATGGTGCGATGCCATTAGCCTCTCATCTACTGTATATTAACAATTGATATTTTGTTAACACAGCAGTTGTTGCATTTTTATATGCACTGTTGGGCTCAAACACTGTATATGCATTTTGGTTTGTCATAGGAGAAAAATTTAGCCTCTGTACAAATGAAAGTGTTATATGATGCTTTGTTTCCTTAGAAATTTTTAATGAGTTTCTAAAATGTGGTCTTAGCTCTCTTTATAGTTTCTATATTTTGAAGTAAAGTAGGTGAATAAAAGATTTAACAGTGTCTTTGTCTGAATTATTGCTGACAGGCTGGACAGTCCTCATGACCTGCAATGAGTCCTTCTCACACAGGCTCACACAGTTTTTTTTGTTCTCAACCCTTACAACAGGCACATGCTCACCCTGATTCAGCATTTGTAGTGCTGACATGAGTTTGTGTTTCACCTCTGAGAGGTTATTGCTATGTGGGAGTCACTCCTTCATAACAAAACCCCTCAGTGGACTCAGCTCACTGTCTGTCAGTCATTTCTCCCTTTCACATTCCTGACATTCCACATGATCCGGTACTCCCACCACACCCCCATGTCCAAGCCAAACCACCCTCACCACTGCACGATTTGCAGCCCATGCTTATTTTAGAGGTTAAAACTATGAAAACAAAATCTTAGGCATGTCTGCTGTGACTGGTTGACTGTTGCTCATACAGAGACATGAAGCTGAGCACATCTCAATTTCCCACAAAGCCCCACCACATATCTTAACCCTCTCCTCTTCCCCTCAGTATGCCCCCACCTCTCCTCTCCTCAGGAGCCCAGCTCTGGAGTGGCCATGTGCCCGTGATTGCTATGGTGAACTGCGCTTATCCCAACAAAGAGCTAGAACAAATTGGGATAAACTCATACAAGCGCAATCTCTCTCTCTCTCTCATACACACACTTTCTCACACACACACACACACACACACGTGCGAGACTGTCTCCTCCCTCACATAAGAGCTAGCTTCTTGGGGGAAACAGCCATTGAACGCTGACGCTGACTTTGAGTGCGCGCTAAATTCAAAGTCCTGGCTCTGCGTAAAACTGAAGTAAAAAACAAGTACAGATTTCCCCAGGAGTTAGAGATAGTTCGGTAGGTGTAATTTGTTTCCAAATATATTTGATGTCATAAGAGAAGAGGTAAAAAGTTGTAACCCGTTAACTTTTTCACGCTCTGCTGTGCGTCAGCGACCCAAATAGTTTGGGACTTTCCACAACCACTATTTACGCACAGCTGTCTTGGGTTTACTTACCCTTAGCCAGTGGCTGAGAGCACAGCGAGGATCCGCTGTTTCTCGCCTCGGAAGTGACTGTGTGTATCCAGGTGGATCAGTGACTGCTGGAAGGTATGCTTGATGAGATGGAGTGACTTTTCCAATGGGTGGAACAGAGCGTCTATGGTTACTTGCTAGTTTATGTCAGGTAAGATGAAGGCCTGCACAACGTCAAGTTGTCTGTAAAGCAGTTTATTGTCGTTTTCCATTATGCTTATTAATCTTCCCAGGTGCATTGTAATTGTATTTAATTAAGGTGCATGGGATTTCTGGCTTCTGACACACTTGGCATGTTACTTTCCTCTTCCTTAGGTGGTCTTGCTGACTTGTGAACAGAGTGTAATACCTGTTGAGGTTGAAGTTGTATTTCAGTCCTTCCCTTCAACTAAAGATCCAGACACCTACACCGTCACCTGCAGGACTGCAAGTAACCATCAGGTAGGAACACTAGTAAATGGGATAAGGGCAAATATAATTAGTTTGAGAACTAAATAAATTGTCACAATGTCTCTGCAGGTATATGTGCAGCCCATTGATCATTCAGCATGCTCCCCTGACTGCAAAATATCACTGCGATTGGTTGAGGACCCACGCGGATATAACATCACATTAAGGGCCAGGAGAAACGATACTACTCTTGAGGCTAAGACTTTTCACTTTAGTGAGTGTTTTTGAACTGAACCTGAATGCCACAGTCCTGACAGACACACTTCACTAGTGTTTCAAACAGTTTAGAAGTTTGGTGTAATGCTTATTGATGTTAACATCCTTAATCTTGTCTCTACTCCTTCCCTCCTGTATTTGTGTCAAGTTCCAGTCTCCCTGACCTCCCTTCGTGTAAACAGCACGACGACTACTGCTCTCCTGACATGGAAACTTCACACTCAACAAAGCCTATCCACTTTGAGCCTATACGACACTCGCGCACAATCTATCACACACATTTTCAAAATTAACTCATCAGAGGCGAACTCTCAGTACACAGTGAAGGGTATTAAGCCTGGCACACGCTTCAAGGCCAAAGTTGTCGTGACTACTTTCCTCACACACCTTAATGTGACCTTGAAGCAGAGACTTGGCATCGGCATGGAAACAGGTATTGTGCGAATTTGCTTTAACACAATCACATAACCACACAACTTGATAATTCACCGTAAATCTGACTGCATGCTGGGTGGAATCAGTCTGTATTAGTTGGTGATAATATCTATTTCTAGCTCAGTGTCCCCCTGACTGGTTGGCCAGTGGGACAAGCTGCTACACTGTGAGAAGGACAGGTTTGACCTGGAGTGATGCCCAGCACAGCTGCAGAGGCCTGGCAGCCGGAAGCCACCTGGCTGACCTGAAGACCCTGGAAGATCTGCTCTTCATATCTTCTCACCTGCTGAGCCACAACAACCTGCTGCTGCTATGGACTGGGCTCAATGACCAGCAGGTATTGCTTAGTTATTACTAAGGAGAATAGGCTTTTTTCTTTTCACAATATCAATATATAAGAGCCATAATAAATTATTTGTATTTACATTTACATTGTCAAAGGTAATTTTTCTTTGAGAAGGTGCTTCTTTATATATTATTTAATAACCTTTTCTCGTGGTGGACACATTTGGGAATTTCCATGACTAACCTTTTATCTAGTCATTTAAAGAGGGATTTGCCAAGAAAAAAACTTTTGATTAAATATTTACAACACAGTGGATACTTTTAAACCCTGCAGGGATTAAGTAGTTGTTCTGACATTGACTGAATTCGAGCTTGTAGGATATGGATGAATACGTGGCAAGTAAACTGCAGTAGACTTAAAAATATCTTACAGTGTAATTAAACTTAACTGCACTGACATCACATCACCTACACAATACCTGCCAGAGCATTAGTGTATACAGAGCAAGAAAATGTCTATTTTTTTACATACATTTCATGTAAAGGACCTACACAAAGGAAATGACAAATTATTTCCTATAGAGAATTATGATTTTGTGTTTGAGAAAATGTCCAAAGGTTAAACGATTGTGTAATGTTATCCGCCACTACTTGAAGCAGATTTTCTGGCAAAGTAGTTTACTTTCTAAACAGGAAAAGCCCTGTGGCAGCAGCTACTCCTTAAAGAGGAGTTTTGTTGTTGATACTTTCTCTCTTGGGTCACTCCACAGGAGGAGGGACAACTTCTCTGGTCTGATGGCTCAACCTATAACGTAACGAACACTATCAAGTCATCGCTGCCAGACAATCAGACAGACTGTTTTGCCCTTCAGAGGAATGCCACAGGACAAGGACACTTTCTCACTCCATTCTTTTGTAGCATCCCTCTACCTTTCATCTGCCAGTACCAGAGTAAATAACTTGTGTAATATACTTTTATTAACCAGAGCACTTACTAGTTATCCCAAACCATATAAATTGTGAGCATCTCTTTCCCCTATTTCCACCTCTAGTTGCTATGATGGTGCTATGTTTCTCTCTCTTTCACAGCCCCTCCAGTCCCTGCCTCATTCTCCTTTGTCGTGGTTCAGGTGACAGAGCAACACGTAGAGCTTCGTTGGAGTGACCTCTCACCCTTGAACTCACTTAATCATTCTTCTTTTGAGGTATTCCTCCAGTACCAAGAGGAGGCAAATGGAGAGTCGGGTGAAGGTGAATCAGATGCAAGCAGGAAGTCAGAGGGCAAAAAGGGCACACAGAGCCAGAGCGGTGTTAAAAGAAATGTCAGGGTCCCCATGTCCCTCTCCTCCAGAGGGGTAACTGTGGCAGGTTTGTTTCCAGGGAGCGTCTACTCTTTCACCCTTCAAGCCTCTCACCATGCCGGCTCCTCCTGGCTCTTGGGACAAACACGGACTGCATACACTAGTGAGTCTGTTGACAACCTGTCATACACATAAGTTACAGAAACAGCATCATATTCTAACAAATGTAACTTCAAATGTTTTTGTTTTTTTCACAGGACCTCTTCCTCCTCAAAATATCACTGTTGGCCCCATTACCGTCAGCCAGATTAGTGTCCACTGGGTGCTGAGGGATGCACAGCTAAACGCCGGATGGACATTTGTTGTGCGCTATGCAGACATGTCTTCAAGACAAGAGAGGATAGTTGGAATGACCAACATCTCCAAGTTATCTGAGACTGGTGGGTTGCAGTCATACACAGCTGTGATTGGAGGGCTGGAGTCTTACAGGAAATACAAGGTTGAAGTTTACACAGTAACCCAGCATGGGATAGAGAGCTGTGGACAGACACCTTTGACTGTACAGACTGGTAAGCACGTAATAGAATAGGCCTTTTTCACAGCCACCATTCTGACATGTCATAGTAGGAAAAGCACAAAATGAACCATGGCTCTGTTCTACTCAGTGTCCCAGTAAGTCATGACAGTGTGACAGTGAGCCAGCATGTGCTATATCACTAACTTGAAACAGAAGCAGCTAATATAATAATAATGTTATTATTTGAAATACAATGCCTATGTTAGCATATTGTTTTGATTCAAAAAGTTTTTAAGTAAATGCTTTTTTGAAGCTTACAGTAAAGGGCAATGTTTTAGTAGGTATTGGCAACTTTAAGTATCAAGTAGTAGTTTTAACAATTAATTTGAGTGATTTCCATTTCTATAAGAATGGTATATAAATTAGATCCAAATATACAAATGAAAACTTCACATGAAAGTCAGTTCTCCGTTATTGCCACCATAGATCATCTTACTCACCCAGACAAGACTGAGATTTGACTGGACTTTTGTGAAGTCATTTTGAGAAGGGCTGGTAATCCAACTGGTGACTTCAGTTCTGAGAAGCAACACCAGCTCATCACAAGTTGCCAAAAGTTAGTTGGCATCCTCTCAAGATAAATACTGATGATTTCATCCATGAAGAAGTAATTTGGATTAGCAGCTAAATATTTTAAACCTCACAGCAAAGGTCCAGTCAGTGTGTTTAGTGGTCTTGTCTTTGAATTAATTATCCAAATCACCTAATTTAGTTCCCTAAGTATGTTTGCATTATCTATGCTGTAATGGTAAGCCCGTTCTTACCTCAGACCGGAAGTGGTAGTTAGCTAGCGCTAGCTAGCTTGCTAGCTACGTTCGTGATAAAGGTTTTGACAGCCCCCCCGAAGCCCCCACCCTTACCACAACCATCAGAAATGTTAGTACATAAACCATACAGTCTATGACCTAAACCTAAGTCACTGACTGAATGTATGTCGACCGGCTAACCCTACAGCTGCGCACATCGGCCGTCACGCTGTCTGAAAGCATCAGTAATGACGCATTGAGATGAGAATATGTTATTACATTAATTACACTGTTTGTCTCAATGTTATTAAGGAGACAACATTTCCCTTATTTAATTTTTTCTGGGTATTGTGTCTATTGTCCAATAACTGTCCAAACTAAAATAATGCATAACACAGTTATGCATGAGAGGTTGTGTTGACTTTGCTTTGACCCATGTTAGTCAACAACTAAATGACTTCTCCTTTTGTGCCTCTTAGCAGTGAGGGCCCCCAGTGGTCTGGTGGTGGTGAGCGCAACAGGAAATCTGACAGTCTGCTGGACCAGTCCACCTGATGACTCACCAGATGGTTATTACATCACATCTCACCCACTCATTTACCCCACTTCAAGTTCACTGTGGATAAACCAGTCCACTCCTGGTGCACACTGGGTGAATGAGTCCGTGTGTGTTGATTTGGGCACATTTACTCCGGGTCACACTTATGAAGTCGGAGTGGTCTCACTGATGGGGAAGGACAGGAGCAAGACGGCCGGCATCATCCACACCACAGGTTAGAGAAATAAGAGTACTGCGTTTAATTGATAGGTTCACAAGTTTATATAAAAGATCCCTTTCAAAAGTCTTTTTAATGTAAGTGAAAATTTGCCAACTTCGTTTTGTGCATCAGTGTATTGAAGTTTATGTAAGTTTATCTGCAGCTCATATGAGGCTTCAGCAGCCTGAAGCAGTCTGAGGCAGTCAGTGAGTTAAGTTACTGCCTTTCTAGTACAAAATCCCTCTTTGTGTTTCCCAAGACAGTGTTTTTCCCTGTGGAGTTGCATTGACAGGATGGAGATATCCACTTGATTTAACTCATTTGGAAGCCACAAGCCCCATATTAGCTTCAGATAAACATTTTAATAATCATTTAACAGAAGGAGGACTGTGGCCAATACGAACAGCAGTACTAATTACAGCATCTAAAACCTGTTTTAATGCTCATATGGACACCTGACTATTGTTTTAAGACAGATTTTGTGAACCTATCCTTAAATGATGTAGAAGTCAGTTTTTACCATACTAGTCAATAAAAAAGTAAACCATCATTGTCTCTTTTTTTCTCCCTCTACATGTATAGATCCAATGCCAGTTTCGGTAGCAGTCCCTCTCTCAGTGGGCACAAACTCTGCACAACTGTACATCCAGCATCCACAGCTGGGTCTGATTGATGGGGTGAAAGTGTGCATATGTCCGGGAGTGTGTGACAGTGTGTGTGAGGGATTGTGTGGGTACACTTGTGAATGGTACTCCCTCCCTACAGGTGTTCATGTTATAACCCTTAGCAACCTCAGTCCAGGATCAGAGTACCAGCTCAGGGTGTACAGCACCAGTCGAGAGCAGATGGGACCACCTTACCACACCCGCCCTGTTAGAACAAGTGAGCACATACTAATGCAGATACTAGTCACATCGCCAACTACAGCAGACACATTCGAAATGCTTAAAACATTAGGGCTCATTTGCACTAATATATAACATAAAAGTGTATTTTATGTTATATATTATATACACTCGCTGCATTGACACAAAACCAAGAATGAAAACCTCAAATCAAGATTGCTCCTCCTGTTTTAATGAATATTAATCTATACAAAATGGAATATATTAATTACAATAGATGAACAAGTGCGTAGTAAGTAGAAAGTAAGTAAGTATTTAGAATAAAAATAAAAATTAGACAAGCTTGGAAACTGCATTGTCCACAGAAACTAGTTTTCCACTTGATCATCTGTTAAATCTAAATCCTTAGCATAATTAATGAAGGGCCTGCATATATTCTGATATATTATGCCATTTTGCCTTTAATGTGTAAATTCAACTGTACATTTCAGTTGAAATCCAGTCAATTGACACTCCTGGGTGCACTTATTGAGTGCTTCAGTCAATGATAAATGGTTTGATATATTTTTTTGCTATGTTGTGAGCAATCCATAATTTGACTGATAAAAGTTAAGGGACTCAGCTTTGTTATTCTGAGAGAAGTAGTAGTGTAATGTAATGTGGCGTGACTTCTTACAGCTGAGACCGAATTTCAAATTTGCTTGCCAAATTTAAGCCTTCTTTATAACAAGAAGATGGCTTCACGATATAAGACAGAAGTCAGATTGTATGATAGATATCGTGGCCAGTGTGCATCTTATGGCAGACAAGGCCTAATGTTGACATGGCTAAGCTTTCTGCCTAAATTAAAATAAGACAGATAGGCTGGAGAGCTTAGATTTGCAGAATTAATTCTTGCACTTTTCACAAAATGATTTCCTATTTATTTCCTAATATTTACTGTAATTATAATCTTTTTGTTGATAAATTAGGCATCATCACATAATACATAGGTTTTTAAGATATCCCCTAACAAAGGTAATTAGTATTTTGAGTATGTTAGAGGAATAATTACAGTATGGGTTGTGGGACTGTGATTTCAGGTCTGGCTCCTCCTAACAGAGTAAGGGAGGGTGTGGTGACAGATTCATCCATAGAGCTGCTTTGGGATCCAGCACAAGGGCAGGCTGACAGTTACGAGGTCATCTGCCTCAAATGTCACCATTTACGCATGGTAAACAAAAACAAACTCTTAAAAATATGTGAGTGATTTTACCTTACTTTACTTGATTTAAGTAGCAGGTTTGTTTAGGCACATATTTGATTTCCCAAAGTATCTGTCAAAGTCTGGGCGAAGAATTAATTAAGTGTGCACAACCACCGGAATGACTAATGAATCGCCTTAGGTAAGGCACTAATCAGAAGTTGCTTCAGGAAAGATTCATTGTGTTCAGCAGATAGCATGACTTTATGTATCAAACATTAACCTCACCTCTGCCCCTCTAACTAATGCTGTTGCTGTAAGAATTATAATAAGGCTCTAAGTCAGCTTCTTTGGTTATTTCATTTGTTTGCTGCAGGTGCAGAAGGTTTTCAATCACAGTGCAGAGTTTTCTAGTCTGACTCCAGGCAGACTCTACCACTTTGCAGTGCGAACAGAGAAGGAGTCCTTCACAGACAGTTCCCCTGTCACCATCAACATCACTGCAGGTAAAAACACACGCACGTACACAAACATACACACACACTGCTCAGTCTTTCAATTCTGACTACTAGGTGTAATGTTTTTTTACACCAGCTCCCAGCCCAGTGGAGGCGTCTCTTATCAATAAAACCACATCATCCATATGCATTCGTTGGAGTATGGTCAGGGGAGTGGTGAGCAGACTCATCCTGTCCATCAAAAACAAAACATCCAATCAAGAGCTGATCATTTCTCATCAGGAGTGCAGGTCTGGTTCACTCTGTCAGCCAGTACACAAATGATAGGTTTTATGAGACTGGAATCACAATCACCAGATCAAAAGACAAAACAACGTAGTGCAAGATGGATTACTGAAAGCTTGTGCTTGCTATGTGTGTTCACAGATCTTACTGCTTTAAAGGCCTCGTTCCTGGAAGCCAATATACCATTGAAGTGATTAGCACCAGTGGGGAAAGAAGGAGTAAACCTGCTACTATGATCCTCCATACTAGTAAGTAAAACGTAAGAGATTAGGCCAAATGTAAGTACCGAGCACCAAATATTGGTTGTGCTTGTGCCCAGATGTGTATGGGTGTGGGAGGGAGAGAGAAAACGAAAACGACTTGAATGAATGAATGTAGCAGGACATGAGAGTGCAGAAATATACAAACACAACTTTAAAAATATTATCAAATATTAGATTAAGAAAGTAAGATCATAAAATGTGAATTCTGTAAGGAGTGCAGGTTCGCAGGTAAAACATGAGACAAAAAGGAAATTATTTTTTTATCTGTATTCAGTTTCAGTCTTTAACTGATAACATTTTATTAAAATGCCATGTCAGAGTAGGAAGGTGGTTTGAAATAAATCATTGTCACAATCGAAATTAGAGCACAAGCTTTGAAGTACTGAGGGATCAGCCTAAAAGGAAATAATTTGTTTGTCTTTTGCTTCACAGTTCGTTTTTAATGCGGTTTAACAGTGCTTTTACAATGATATTTACATTATAATTTACACACCAAATGTTTACCAAAGAAATTATTCACATTAAAGTAGAAGTACAAAATTATGTTTAGATCTCAGTACTTATTCGCCTCCAGTATTTCCCATTGCTGGTGAACCTATAAAGTATGTGAAAAGTTCACTTCACGCCTGTATTCACATGGGTATTACCTTGAATGACAGATCATGATGATTATGTGTCAGTATGTAGTGTCACATGCTAATAGGAATCTTATCTCCAGTCCCAGAGATGCCACAGGAAGTAGCTCTTTCAGAACAGGTAGTGACGTCTCTGTTTGTCACCTGGAGACCACCGCCAGGACAGGTGGAGGGCTACAAGGTAAGACTTGTATACTACTACATCAGTCCAGTTCCAGGTAACAATCACAGGCTGTGCACAATGATGTGCGTCCTTGTCATTTGTCTTACACAGACATTACTCAAAACATGTTTTTTTTTCAAGGACAAATGAGGCCACTTGCGTCAGCTTCCGCACTCACCTGTTGGTTATCTAGCAACTGTTCTCAGCACACCACAGATTTGGTTACCAATCCTTTAAAGATGTATGACCTCCGTAGAGCCCCAGCCAGGAAGAATGACCAAGCACATTACGTGCACACAATAGAAACCCACACAAAGAGAAATAATTGAGAGACATTGTTGGATTGGTAATGAAAAGAAGGTACCACAGTAAAAGAAATAATTGAGTCATTGGTAGATTGCTAAAACAAAAAGTGTACTGTTTTCACAGTCTGTAATTGAAACTTGAATTGGGTTTTGTAAAGCCCTGAAAAAGTTTTCTCTTTGTTTTTCTCAGCTAGTTTTTGGCCTGCTGTCTGCGGACAGGAAGTCGTGGATTGAGGTGCTTGTCCAGGGCACACGTTATGAGATCAGGAATTTGATCCCGGGGTCAGACTACAGTATCAGCGTTCAGAGTGTGCTCGGCTCAGACACCAGTCAGGCCGTCCACAGCGAGTTCAGCACACGTAAGAGACACTCATACATACAGTCAGGCACACACAAAGACACAGGCCTAAATTCTGTAGAGTATTTCAGGAAGCCCTCGCCTGTCAGGACAGAAAGTGCCGTTGGTGATTCCATAGTTAGAGCATTATTCCCCTGTAGCACATAAAAAGAGATAATTAAATAGTGGCCCAAATGAGGAAATATGTAGGTGTAAAACTGCAAAAATGTTTTTTCAGGCCCAGCAGGATTATGCACCCTTCATTTAGACAACATGAACTCTTCTTCTGTCTCTGTGAGCTGGGACAGCGCGTTTGGAGAGTTTGACTTCTACAGAGTCACTGTGGCCAACCAATCAGTCACAAACACACTCACCATACCCAAGGAGAAGCAGGTTGCCGTGGTTACAGGGCTGGTGGACGGCTGCAGCTACAACGTGAGCGCCGAGAGAGTGAAAGGAGTGACAGCGGGGAGCGCTGCCTCTCTGACCGTGACCACAGGTAGACAGTATTACAAGGCCTGCATCGGTCAACACCCATCATTATCACCTGCCTTGATCGCTTCTTTGTTAAATTACTAGACTTTCTCCACCTGAATCTGTTTCTCCCCTTCCCTGTCCTTCATGAGTGCCAGCCCCTGTACGAGGAGTGCGTGTCGTGAATGTGTCTGATCGTGCCTTCTCGCTACGTTGGGAGCAGGCAGTTGGGTGTGTGGATGATTACCTGGTGAACCTGCTACCAAACCAGGGGAAAGTCACAGTCCACCCTGCACTGGATGGACACATTCAGGTATACACACATAGTCAATGAAACATACACTGCTAGCATGCAGTAACAAGGGTTTTTTGAATTCACACTTAGTTTTTCACCTAATAAATTCAATGTAGATGCTCGGACAACAAGACATGCATGCATTATCTCTCCTCCCAACCCAGCCCGGCTCTTCCCGGCTGCCAGGTGTCAGATACCCCCCAAAATGAAACCTTACACAGCACATGCACAGAGCACACAGAACACAGAGTTGAGTAATAGATCTCATTATTTATTAAGTTGGCCTCATGAGCTCAACCCTGAATCATTCATTTGCTTAAGCAGCTCTCCCTAGAGAGAGAGAGGGAGAGACCAGAGGGAGAACGTTAGCCTCGTGCTAATGAAAGGACCCACTGCCCTCCCTGGCTAGCCACTAAAATCTAAAATTTTGGAATACCTCAAGACCAAGAACTGTTCATATCCAATGCCTGGACCACTAACCCTGTGACATTTACTAATGCCACTAACCAGCTTCTAGACCCGGAGTTATTTCTGTTCAGCTCAGTGGATTACCTGTAGTCCACTTCTAACAATATTGGACTAACAGTGAATGCAGCCCCCTCTGGCAAGGCCTCTAACCTGCTGTGTCTAAACTAAAGCTAACTCTGCTACTCAGCATGGCCTTCTTCTCCCTCATCCTGCTGCTCACACTCTGCCTGGGACAGGAACAGTCAAAGGTAAGAATTCAACACTCAGTATCTGGCTGTTCACATACAGTAGATTTTGATATACAAAACATTTACAGACTGTTACACTGCTCTTGTATCTTCATACACATATTTGTCGTCACATAAAATCCAAACCATGTACAGTGAGGTTGCCACAGATGTAAAAATAAATAAATAAAAATGCGTGGTCAAATTTCTGGGAGGTTGTGTGAAACACTGCCATTTATCAGACTGATGTCAGAAGTGCAAATGTTCAATGCAACACACACCGAAGCAGAAAGCCTGCAATCCGGTTCTTCTGTCACACAGACATAAGCTACGATATGAAGATACAAAGAAGTGCAACCACAAGCAGAAACAAGCTGTTATGTTTTCACAACCACCCACCGTCATATTGATACAGATGGCTGAGGACGTAAGGTTCTTCAAATAGAGTTGTAGTGATTCTGTAGTAAGCTGCATAATAAAATACAATAACAGAAGGCTGATTGACCTAGGGTTATTGTAATTTCGATGTATTCTTGCTTCTATATGCAGAGGTTTTTCAGAGGAATCTTTTACTTTTACTTAACAAAAATTATGAATAGGTTAAAAAAACATACACAAGGAGGAAAATAAATACTCAGATAGTCCTGAATTAATTGATTGACAGAGTACGAATCGGCAGCTATTCTTTCTATTCTGTCTGACTCGACAGGACGAACCTTATACCAACCTAAGTTACCTAAGTTTTGGTGTTTTCGCAGGCTGATGTGGTGAATGTAAGTCCGGGGACACAATATGCTGTAACAGTCACAGCAGCCTCCTCCTCCAACATCAGCCCTGGAGTCAGCCGCATGATCAATACTAATGGGAGTGGTAAGATGTGCACACACACACACACACACACACACACACACACACACACACACACACACACACACACACTGTTTGTTGTTTGGATGGGGTTTTGTTTTTGGATGTTAAATGTCCATCAGGTTCTCGTCTGCCCTCTGCTGTTTAATTCACTCCCTGTATAGCGCATGTACACACACACACACACACACACTGAGGGAGAGGACCTGGTACAGTAGATGTTCGTTAATGTGTATGTGTGTGTGTGTGTGTGTGTGTACGTGTGGGTATACTCCCTTCCCTGTTTAATTCCTCTTAGGTAACTTAAGCCGCTGCTTTTGAACTGCAGGATGAATGGGTCTGCAGTTAATGTCAGTGAAATGCCACTGCTATGTGAGGCCTTATTCATCAGAGTTCGGCCTAAAACACACTCACACACACACACACACACACACACACACACAAGCTCGGAGGATCAGTCCCCCACAGACAACAACACTATTCTTCAAATGACTTTGGTCCTGTGTTCTGTTAAATTCTGATATACATAAGATGTTATTTATCAAAAGAGTAGTATTGGATTTCTGCATTGAACACAGTAGAAAGAGGGAAAAGATGGGATGAGAAAAAACACTCTCCTCTCCTTTCCTCTCCTTTACACACGTCCCTTCTTCTCCACCAGTTCCTGGTCCACCTTTAAACCTAGAAGGAGAGGCTGTGGGCTCCAATGGTATACTGCTCTCCTGGATCATGCCACCTGGTGCCAAGAACATTGACGGATACGTCATCAGGTAATTGTTGTGTTCTTGGAAAACTGTGATTCAAGATTTATTTTGATACTTTTGCGTGGGTCCGCACAGGTTGTGAGTCTCAAATTTACAATTCAGGAGAGCTTTATTTTCTTTGTCAGTGACAACAAAATTGCAGTTTCCACCACCAATCAGGTACTAAGTCATCATGAGGTCATGAAATATTAAATATAGAATTACGAAATATACAATTGATAGAAGAAAGATGGAATGTGAATAAATAAAACAAAGTGCCAAAATAATGGCCCCTTTCACAGTGTTAAACACACTTACTGGCCACTTTATTAGGTACACCTGTTCAATTGCTTGTTAATACAAATAGCTAATCAGCCAATGACATGGCAGCAACTCAATGCATCTAGGCATGTAGACGTGGTCAAGACAATTGCTGAAATCCAGGCCGAGCATCAGGATGGGGAAGAAAGGGGATTTAAGTGACTTTGAAAGTGTGCCAGACGGGCTGGTGTGAGTATTCCTCTACTGATCTACTGGGATTTTCACGCGCAGCCATCTCTATGGTTTACAGAGAGTGGTCCTAAAAAGAGAAAATAACCAGAGTACAAGATGACAGAACGGCAACATTAACTCAAACAACCAATCGTTACAATAGATTCAATACAACTATACAATAGGAGGTTTGAATAACGTTGTCTGATTCTATGAGTCTCGATTTCAGCTGCGACATTCAGATGGTAGGGTCAGAATTTGGCGTAAACAACATGAAAGCATGGATCCGTCCTGCCTTGTGTCAGTGTTTCCGGCTGGTGGTGCTGGGGGTGTAATAGGATATTTTGATTTGTGTGATATTTTCTTTGGGCCCCTTAGTACCAATTGAGCATCATTCAAACACGACAGCCTACCTCAGTATTGTTGCTGACCTTGTCCCTCCCTTTATGACCACAGTGTACCGTTCTTCTGATGGCTACTTTCAGCAGGATAGTGCACCATGTCACAAAGTTCAAATCATCTGAAAGTTGTTTCTTGAACATGACAATGAGTTCACTGTACTCCAATGGCCTCCACAGTCACCAGATCTTAAAATGGGATGAGGTGGAACGGGAGGTTCGCATCATGCATGTGCAACCGACAAATCTGCAGCGATGCTATCATGTCAATATAGACCAAAGTCTCTGATGAATGTTTCCAACACTTTGTTGAAAGTATGCCACAAAGAATTATGGCATTTCTGAAGGCGAAAGGGGGTCCAACCCGGTACTAGCAAGGTGCACCTAATAAAGAGCATATCATAGCTTTATTATAACTGAGGCATTAATGTGTGAGCAGCATTTTTGTTGTATTGGGTCTAGTTTGGGGTTTTAAGTACTACTACGTGATAGGCAGTTTAATTAGCAGAAAGTCTTATAACAGAGTTCTAAAAACATAATTTTGTACAGTAGGCCTAAAGTAAGGAATATTTTGACATGTTTTTATTTATTTCAACATTTTCTACAACACAAGTGTCTGTTTCTTGAAATAAGAAAGAATAAGGCAAAGTGGATTTTTGAAATGTTTTGAAACAAGTTCTAAGAAAAGAATAATTTCAAGACTCTTTTGTGATGTTCCCAGTCAAATATGTAGAAATGTCACTTTAAAATGAAGTGGAGTAGAGGTATCATGAAATGGAAATACACTGAAACTGTGCTTACTTTACACCACTTAAACCTAATCTAAATCTAATAGCATGCATGTCTTTTACTGTTGCTTTGTGTCTTTCATCTAGCCCCATACTGCTTATACATGTGTAATGTAAGTTGGGAGATGATGAACTTAAAATTTGTTTCATTCCTTGTAGGTACAAGGAGGTGTGTCCTTACCCCGATCCCACCTTCACACAGGTGACCAAGTACCTGGACGTACCAGAGACACTGCTCACTGACTTCATCTCAGGTTCTACATACCACATTGAGGTAAGATCCACAATTCAAGATTCAAAACTTTATTTCCATGACAGTGTTGATGATAGGAATTTGCTGTTGTTGAACTCAAAAACCCAAAATTCAGGACATCACATAACCACACTGTGAAAACCAGTGATATAAAACATAAAACTATAACTATAGCCAAACAATAAAACTTTTATGCAAATATTTATACAAAGTAAATAGAACAAGCTTTCTTGATGGGATGCTACACTTACAGGAACCACATTCTAAGGATATTACTGTTGTATATGGGTGAACATATATATTAGTAAAATATTTATATTTAGTAGATACACACCTGTCCCGCATTATCATGTGGATTTAGCTAGCTAACATACAGCCCACAGGACCAGACTATTCTCTTGATCTGGCTGAATACTGGTAATCGATCCTGATTGCATTATTAATCAGGTAAACAGATCTATGAATCAGCCATGCCTCTTTCCACTGTCTGTTGTCACTGAGCTTAAACATGATCATGCTTATTAGTTTTCAGAATTCATTAACCCTCACTGACCTTCATACAAACGGACTCTGAGAGACTGACACACATCGTGATTATACCTGCACATACTGTGTTTTTGTGTATCATATTACCACATCCCACCTGTGAGTTTTTTGGCCCACCAGATCATGCACAGAGCTGAGCTCATGAGGAACTTCTTCTCTTGTTTTGGCCCATACTGTATATCTGACGGGCTAAGAAAGTTATATTCACGTTCTGAGCAGTTAAAATCATTCATACAAGATGCAACAAATTCCCATCATAACGCATATTTTTGTCTATTATGTACTCCTTATTTTCCAGTGAACAGAAATAAATGAACAATAAAATGAATGTTTTTAACCTGTTTTCTACACAAATCATTTAGTTTCAAGATTGGAAATTGGTTGAAAAATTACAGAAACAAGGAAAACTGCACTGTAAACAACTGTAATTGACTTCTTAGTCCATTGGGAGAATTTGTTTTCGTTTTATGTATTGGCAGCTAAATATGAGACACAATAACCTGTGAAAACGCGTCATTTTACAGCGTCATTGTTGTAAGAAAAAAACTCCAAACACTAGTTTTGGTTATTTGCAAGCAGAAATTCAGGCTGAGGCTGAGGTCTGTTTACGTACTGTAATGTGTAATTTTGTATCATTGTTGTTCATGTGTTACTGGGATCACTGAATCTCCTCTAACATTGTGTCATTCCAATTGTGGTCATTGCCCGAGATAAGCACCTAACCAGGATCTGATGACTGCCTTTTTGACAGGAACATGAATAAATCATTATAAGTAATGCCTACCAACTCTCTCACTCTGTCCATTTAGGTAGCAGCCATAGGTCCAGCTGGAATAGGAACCTTCAGCAAATCTTTATACATAAAGACAGCTGAGTCCCGTGAGTATTCATGCACATCTGCATGCAAATCTAAAACAGTATTTGTATATAAACAGTACTGTACGTATATGTGTGTGTACAGTAATTTGTGTTTGCATTTCCTGCAGCCCCTGGCCTGGTGACCAACTTGACAGCGTTTGCTCAGAACCACACCTTCGTCGTGGTTACCTGGTTCCTGCCGCACCGCATCAACGGCCTCATCACAAAGTTTGCTGTCAAGGCTAAACACGCTCGTACTGGGCAGACGGTCCGCACGCTGGAGGTCAACGCAGAGGACATCATGACCGGAGCGCTGCCTCACTGCAATGTACTGCATTATACTGTCAACCTTTTTCACTGTTATTGTGAAATGTTCTGTGTCTGACAGGATTATAGATGCTACCAAGTCACAAGGCTGACCATCGGTACAATAAAGGCTAGAAATAAATGTTTTTCTCATATACCCTGTGTCTATGTCCTTTTTGTTTTTTTATGTCTAGGATGCAGCCGATATCCTGTCCCGTGCCACTCTCAGTCCCTTGGAGATTACAGCATCGTCTCCACCCATCACCCTCTCCGCCGTGCCCCCTGCAGCTGCCTGGAGTGTGCCCATATCAGTAGGAGTTGATCAGTTACGACCTTACACTGCCTATCTGTTCGAAGTGTCTGCCTTCACCTCTGATGGAGAGGGGCAGATAGCCTCCACTATGGTCCGCATGCCAGAATCAGGTGTGGAAAAAAAGAAGCAAACCAGGGTGTAGTTTTTGTTTAATTTGTGAATTAGAATATTATCTTATATAATAGTGAATGAATGTGAAAACATTATTTCCATTTGTTTGTCCATTGCAGCCCCAGAAGACCCGCCAACTAACTTCTCTATAACCAATATGACGTCTCGGTCAGTCTCCGCATCCTGGAAATCTCCCAACATTATCACAGGAAAATTTACCTACATGGTCTACCTTTATGGACCTACAGGTTATTAAATATTGTCTCTTGAACACACTCATGTGCATGCATAAACATGCTATACACATCCATACAATTTTCTGTTTGTTCTTCATCCCAGGATATTTGTATGAGAACAGCACAGGAGACATGCGGTTCACTTTTACTGGTTTGAGCCCCTACACGAGATACACATTGGGGGTCCGAGCCAAAGCTGCTGGAGAAGTGGGTCCATCAGCGCAGGTCAATGTAATTACTCCTGCTGAAGGTGAGGGGAACTCATGTCTTTTTGTATTTAGATGAATATCAAGGCTGCAACTAATAATTACGTTCATTATCATGATACACTCTTTTTTTGATTACAGTAATTGAATAATTAGCAGTAATAAAGATAAGAAAAAAAGAGTGAAGCAGCAAATCTTTACATTTGAGAAGCAGGAGCCAGAGATTGTTTTTCGTAATTTGCTTGAAAAGCGCCTCAAATCAATCATCCAGATAGTTGCTGATTACTTTTCTGTCTTTCATTGGCTATTTGATTAATCGAGTAATCTGAATAAACATTTAAACGTTCAGTTTAATATTAAAGTTACTGAGAAGTATGCTTGATCAACACGTGCCAAACATACTGATAACACACAATTTGTGTGCGGTGTGAGTCTGTGGTGCCTTGTGAATTTGTGTTTGCTTGTCTAACTCCACCTGCCTCATTTGTATGTTTGTGTGAGTAGCACCCAGTGCTGTGCAGGATTTGATGGCAGTAGCTGAGGATTCAGTTTCAATCCGTGTGAGTTGGAGAAGCCCTGCCCAGCCAAACGGTCCGATCACCCAGTACAGACTGCAGGTTCTGGTTGACGACATTCTGCTGCAGGACATCACCCTCACTGCAGTAGTGGTAAGCCAGATGTTACATCTATGTACTGACATTATAAATATATTCTATCACAGCTCAGTACTGTTGAAAATTCAGTGTTTAAACCTGAGCCTGTTCTGTTGAAAAGGTGGGATCAAATTTGACTGTCAATCTTCACATACACTTGCTGTACATTTTAAAGAAAAGTGGTCCCATGGACCTGTAGAGACATTTTTTATGGTGTAAAAACTCCACTCTTGGTGATTTTCAAGTACAATCTATTAGAATTGTATTCCAGTGTTCCACGAATCCATTTTAGAGAGGCACTGATTACACTCTTAGGCCTTTTCATTATGATGTATATGTGTAAATTAACATATTGTTCAACTGTACACATTTACTCATCAACAATTGTTTATACGCTTTATATGCATAAGATGGTGCTATGTCCACTTCCTGTACATACTGCGCTGTAAATAGACACATTTCTTAGATTATTGGGACTATTATAAAGGCATGTAGCCTGTAAGGCATGTCTACTGTCTTCTGATTCAAGTAGACATTCCTCTAAGGGCTGATAAGCCAAAATGATTGAGAGTCACTGCTTTGCACTGCACCCAACCTGAAGAAATCAACAATGATATTAACATATAGATAACAGAATTTAAAATGTATATTTTTTCTTCCTTCAGAATACAACTGGTTTCAATGAAGATACGACACTTCCCCCTAATGTCCTTAACAAGCCAGGGCGGAGTAAGAGAACTGCTGAGCTCAGTCTGATTACATCACCGCCGACTTTCACGGCCACTATTTCCGATCGCACACTGCCCACTGGTGTGACTGCTTCCAGCCCCACACACTCTGAACTAAGAGGCGCTGACCAAATTCCAAACACTGATGCTCAACCAACTGCTGACTCCATGGTCACTGAGATGCCCAGCACCAGTTACGCCTCTGCTTCACATTCTAACAGCACAAATATTCAATCTACTGACTCTGCAGTCTTTGGTACCTCTACATTTTCTCCTACCTCTGTGCCACCTGCTACATCTCCACTCTGGCTGACAAAGCAGCCACATGCTGGGGATATGACCTCAGTCTCGCCCCCTTGGCACTGACCCCAGGCCAGTCCCACTTGTCCACACATGATGCAGCAATTATGGGACACTTTTTAACACGCAGTGCTACAGCTTCTGGTACTATAGGTGGGAGAGCACTAACTATTTACACTGCTTCTTGTAACTTCCTGCAGCCCTTGAGATAAGGATTTTCATCTGTTACAGTGCTTATAAATCCTGTGTGTGCATGTGGTCTTGTGTATCAATCTGTGTCTGCATGCTTGCCACAGGTGTAACAGTGAGAGAGGAGGTGATGGACGTTTTGTCTGAGGAGTTGTCTTACCTTGTCTCAGAACTGAATCCCTTCACTGACTACACGTTCAGGGTAACTGCCTCCACAACTGTGGGAGAGGGTCCTGCAACACATATCACTGAGAAGACCAGGGAGCAGGGTGGGTGGTCACATGTCACTTGCAATAATCATTCATTGCAAATAAACCAAAAAAAAGTATGATAAGGCCTGTAAAAGGTACCTTTAAAAATGTATTTGTTACTAATACTATCTTATAATATGTGTTGTTTAGTCCCTAGCTCAGTGCTTGAAGTATCCTATCAAAACATCAGCTCCACCTCCATATTAGTGAGCTGGGTCCCACCACTCAACCCCAATGGATGGATCACACATTACACTGTCTATGGCCTCAAACTGCACAAAAACCAGGCCCTGAAGTGGGTTACTAACACTACTAGCATACTGATAACAGGTAGAGTAATCACCTTCTCTTCACATTTCTATGCAGTCGTTATTATTCTGGTCTGTTGCTAAATATCTTTGCTCTAATGTATAGATTTGGACAAGCATACTGGTTATAAGCTACGCGTAGCTGCATCTACAGCTGTGGGAGAGAGCTCTCTGTCTGAGGAAGATGACATCTTTGTTTTCACCTTAGAGGACGGTACGTGCTAAACACAAACTGTATACACAAAGAAACACAGTGTCAAAGCATTTGTTTTGAATAAGTGTGGTGGAAGTAACACACATTTTATAGTGAATGTTGAATGAACATATCAATAAATGTGTCATGGATTAAAAAATGCAACTACAGGAAAAGTGGCTGGCATCTAGTGTTGTGTTTCAATGTCAGTGACTGAATGTCGTCAAACTGGTATTAAATATGAAACATTAGTTTATCAAATTTACCATGTAGTTATTGAAAAACCAATAACATTTGATGTGATGCTACATCAGTTAGCTCTTTGTGTTTCAGTTATGACTTATCAATTCAATCACATTTTATTCAATGAAAGACCAATCTGGGATTTTTCTGTTCTTTCCCGTGCTCAGAGCCTGACTCCCCCCCTGTAAAACTCTCTGTCGTTGAGACAAGTCCCTCCACCGTCACATTGGCCTGGTCTGCACCAGAGAAAGCCAATGGGGTGATCCAACGTTATGAGGTCCTGTATAAGAACGAGTCCTACTCTGCGTTGATGAACACATCCTCTAACAGCGTCACCCTGATCCACCTGAAGCCATTCTCCTACTACAACGTGTCTGTGAGGGCGTACACGCGTTACGGCCACGGCAACCAAACGTCAGACACTTTATACCTGCTATCTGGCGAGGATGGTGTGTTGATGGATGCACCCAGACAAATAAACATATATGAAAACTTTTAGTAACAATTTCAGCTGTTCAGATTTTAGTACAGGTGGGTGTTCTTGTGTTCTCTTTCCAGTCCCAGGTAGTCCTCCATACGGCGTCACTCATGAGTCAATCAGTCCCAGCGAGGTGAACGTGACCTGGCACCCTCCTCTGCTGCCTAACGGGGTCATTACCCACTACAGCCTTGAGCTTTGGAATTCCAGTCACTACCTGAACCTCACTTCCCCGACCAACTACATCCACATCACACATCTGCGGAAGTATGCACACTACCGCGTCATGGTTCAAGCACACACACGCGTGGGGCCTGGAAACTACAGCAGCGAGCCGCTCAACATCACCACACTGGAGGATGGTGAGCGGGATGGGTGGGGTGAAAAAGCAATGGGGGAGGGTTTGTTTTCAGATACAGCACACTGCATGATTACATCATGACTGAGTTCGAAGGGCATCTGATTAAATCTGACTTTCCTCTTGCCTTTTCCTCCTCAGTTACAGCACATCTTTCTGTTTCAGCTCACTCTAATGATGTTACATCACAGGTATTTGATGCCACGTGACACTCGAGTCTCCCATCAGGACTGAGGGAGCACAAACAACAGAGTCATTATAACTAACCGGTTTCATTTCAGGGTATCTCTGGCACATTCCCGAAGGCCTTTCAGAAGAAGTCCTAATAATATTTAAAAATCACTCGTCAGTTCAGCTTCTGTACTGATAAGCCAAACTCCTATTTGTATTATGTTACTGGAAAGTCTTTCTCCTGCATCTCAGCTCCAGACACAGCTCCTCAGTTTCTCCACGCCAGGAAGTTGTCAGACTATGAGGTAAAATTGTCATGGCAACCACCACTTGAAGCCAATTCAGAAATACTCTACTACATTGTCAGAGTTTGGTGAGTTTCTTTATCTACTTATCTCTGTCTCTTTGACTCTGTTTAAAAAACAGAACACATTGCAATATAAATGGGTGCTCTCTTTGTTAGGAACAAAACAACTGAGCTATGGCAGAACGTCACAGAGACATCAGTGGTTATTAATGTAGACTCTGAGAGTCGCTACAATGCCTCTGTCTCGAGCTGGACAAGACTGGGAGATGGAGGAGTACTGATCTACATCAGCTTTACCACCACCAATGCAGGTGCTGGGTGATTGTAATATAAATTTTGACAGATAACTTCATCATCCTCACACACAAAATAGTCTTTACCATGTATTTCCATGAAGGTTTTCTCACTTCCTGAAAATTTGTCTGTATGTCCTTTGTGTGCTCCCTGGCTTTCAGAGCCATTTGACCCCCCGCAGAATGTGACTTTTGCAAATGTGACCGCCTCCTCTGTCACCTTGCTGTGGCATCCGCCTACTGAACCCAATGGAATTATTGTACACTACACAATTTACTACTCTCATAACAACAGTGTGACTGAGCAGGTGAGACACATATACTGTATATAGAATACAGATAAAGCTACACTAATCAATTTTTTTTTTAATCAAAAATGGGTTAAATGACGGACGTCTGTGACAAATTATCACCCAACTCTGCAGTTCCTCTCAGCTCTGCAAGAGTTTAGTGTGTTTTAGCTCACTGTGTGCATTTTCTTGCTCGCAACTTCCTGTTTTGGTTCACTGTTGCTGCTCTCATTAGTTTTGTTTCCTCACTATACACTATTTGCACAGGACCAAACAGCAAACAGGCAAAGTTAGCAACCAGCTGGTGAACATAGTGGAACATTATTGCAGCTAAAGAGCTAAATGTGTCTCTCAGGAGAAGGTGGGGACACAAACAGAACAAAGAGAATAAACACATTTGTCATATGGACACAAACACAGCAAATGAATGTTAATGTTTGTGTCTGCTGCATGTTTACATAGCTAATTCTAGTTCATAGCAAATTACTAAAACATTCACAATATCAACTTTATAATGCGATATATCAGTATTGTGTTTACAGCTTGTTCTACTGCTCCCAAAGTGGTCTAAAGAAAAAATCTGAATAAATGAGTGGAGAAACAAATTAAATGCAGATGGCTCACAGTGGACCAACACCTGACCAAGAAACCTAATTTTGGGTTTTTCTTTCATTTCTCATCCGTCTGTAAATACACCACAAAATCTTGCTCCTGTTTAAATACCTGTTTCAGTGTATCCTAATGCTCTTTTTATTTTTTTTACCCATAGAGGGTTCCCATTTCAGACTTACCTGCCCGTGCCTCTCCTGATTCAGTCCTCTGCTACACTCTGACTCGGCTGACTGGGGGCACAAACTACACCTTGTGGATGACCTCCAGCACTGTGCAAGGGGACGGAGGAGTCCGGAGCAATCCAGTAGCCCTGTTCTTACCGGAGGATGGTCAGTCAGACCCACACACACACACTCACACACAATCTCACATACACTAATATAAATTTGTCAAAAAGAATAGACATAAATTTAAAACGCTACATATGATGAAATATAGTTATTGCAAACAAAGATTGACAGTCTCACTGGAGGGCTAGTCTGCACACTTTTTTCAAAACTCTTTGACTTCAAAAAAAAAAAAAATACATAAAAACTCTGGGATTAAAGGTGTAACTTTCAGCCTGTTCGTTAAAGGAGATAACAGTCGGTCTGGCAAACTGGCTCTCTTTCTGTCTGCCTGTGACACTGTGTCTTGAAGACAGCCAGTTTGTGTTTCCTTTTACTAAGCACGACGAAAGTTGTGAGGGATTAAAAAAACACAAAAAGAAAGAGAGGGCAGAACCATGTACCATATGAAGACACAGGGGGAAAAAACAAAGCCTGATGTGCTTTTTGAAAGTTCATACTGTGCTCATGCTACAATCACATTGTTGCCATGGAAACCAACATTTGCATATAGTGTTTAAATGTATTTAGTCTTTTTGATATCCTCAGAGAAAACGTGTACATAAAGCTGATCTCCTTGTTTTTATGTGATTTTGGGAAAAATGGTGCAGACAGCCGCCACAGCCTGTGTCACATACAGTACATGTTTGTATGTTGGGATTTATTTTTCTTGTAAACAGTATTCTCTGTCTCTGAATGATTACTGCTCATATTGACTCTGTATCTCTGCCTGTGCTCTAGCTGCTCCACTCTCAGCCAAGCACCGGACCTCCAGGGCACCTTGTCTCTCCCGCACAGCCATGCCCAGCAGGGGCTCACTCCCCTGGGCTCAGACCCCCACACACACCTGGCCCCTCATACCCACTCATTCATCTTATGGATCTGTCGAGTTTAATCTCCCCTTTCCCCTTCATCTCCCCTTTTTTTCCCTACTCTGTGTACCATGGGTTATTTTCGGAGGGGCTGAGATGAAGAACAGGATGAGTATTTTCTCTTTGATCCCTTTCTTTCCCCAGGTTTTCAGTGGTTTCAAGTTTCCCTCCTAAACACCTCTGTATATCTCTGGATGGCATGTTAATTTCATAGAATATTATTTGTGTGTCTGTTTACTGTACTGTTTTACTTTGCTGTGTGTCTCTGTTGCTAAAGTAATGTCATGCCGTATTGTTCTACTTGATGTGCTGTTTGTTAATTACAACAATGCTGCCAATGATTGTGACAGTGCTTGTGACAGAGAATGATAATGATGATGATGATGATGATGATGACTGGTGCGCTGTTCATTTTCCCTCAGACATCAGAGTGCGTATGGTTGATTGATGCCCCAATTTACTGCCTCGTAGTATAATACACTCACATCAAGAGGCTCAGAGTTTTCAAGTTTTTTCACTGGTAGTTAATAATAGTCTATTATTAACACTATTCTACTTGTCTACCTTTTCAGTGCCAAGTGACTCGGTCCGAAACCTGACAGCTCAGATCTTCAGCTCCACAGCCATCATCGTCAGCTGGGACCCTCCCCTTGAGCCCAACGGCCGTCCCTACTACCTTCTCACCTTACAGGAAGCCGGCATCTCCCCAAATGTATCCAACCAAGGGACTCTTGCTGTCAACAAGACCATCAAGCACACCACAACTGACAACGTCTTCTTATTCACAAGACTCAAGAAATATTTCCCATATGTGTTGACTGTTACCCCGGCTACTGGTGCTGGCCCTGCCTACAACCATACCAGCACGATGTACCTCAGAACGGATGATGATAGTGAGTTGATCTACGTATACATTCAATTATTGAGTATGGCAAATGTACTTACTGTGGCACTGACGCATGTTTCTGTTTAGTTCCTAGTTCTGCTCCATTACTGGTGTCCACCAGGAATCTGTCATCGTCCTCCATCGTAGTGGTCTGGCAGCGCCCTCTGGAGGCCAACGGGGAGATAATCGAGTATGCCCTCACTCTGTTTGGCCCAGGGGGCCCCAGCCCAACATCTACCCCCAACACTTCGTTCATCCTCACCAGCCTACTTCCGTACACAGCTTACAACCTCACTATTACGGCTGCAACGCGTAAAGGCTCAGGGCCTTATCTGCTGTTGCAGCTGCACACCGATGAAGGAGGTCAGTTTGAAAGCAGGTTTAAAATGCCTTAATGAGATGGTATTTATTTATCAAACTATGGGTGTACATCTGCTCTCTGTTTCAGTCAGTCTTCATCTCTATCTGCCTAACTTTGTGTTTCAGGCCCCATGTCTCCTCCCCGCAACTTGACTATATACAACCACACAGCAGTCTCTGTGTGGCTGAGCTGGGAGCCTCCGCTGGAGCCCAATGGAGTGGTGATACAGTACGGCTTCAGGATCCGAGACCTCATCACACACACCGTCACACACAGGGTACCCTTAATTTCACACACCAAAAGTTACTCCACAATAACAACAACACACACACACACTTTACACACACTCCAAGACCCACTCAGTATGAGTAAGAGAACACATTGTCACACTTACGGTAGCTCTAATTTCACACCCCAGATACCACTCAGCAGCTACATTATACGTACACACGGGCAAATATGTGTGCTGATACAGTAAAACGTTATCCACTCTAGTAATCAGGATTGGATGATTTAATCTCCTGTGTGTCATTTCTTATGTGTGTGTGTGTGTGTATGTGTGCACAAATGTAGAATTCCTCTGGTCCATCGACGACAGATTATCTATCAGGCTTCAGGCCTCATAGCTCCTACGAGATCAGTGTTTACAGTTACACCAGAGTCGGCCATGGGAATCAGTTCAGCATCCCCGTGACCTTCACAACTAACGAGTCAGGTAAAGTACACACTGTCTACCCACAAAGGATTTAACACTTATTTAGGTTACCACTCACAGTTTATGGCTCAAAATTAATCAGTCTTAAAAACTAAGATTTGTACAGTATATACAGTTCAACTCGAAATATTCTGTTTGTCCCTTAAGGGGCAATTTAAGGAAAGCAGAGTGGCAAACAAAAAAAAACCACAAAAAACATCCACATGCATGTGAAAATACAAAACATGACAGAGTAATACCTTTAAAGAAAAGAAGGAGAAAATAAGTTGAAAGACACAAGTACAAACCCGTAGTTGGTCATCAGTGTCCAACACCACAAAGGCATGTTGTGTCAAAGTGTCTGTCTTTAACCTGAGCTGTTTGCAAATCTTAAGGCTTCTGAGAGTAAACCAAACTTTCTTCTATTTGTTTTAAACACAGGCAATCTAAACACATTCCTGATAGCATTGGCTTTAAGTAGTAATAAAGGGAAGTAACAACAGGGGGACAAATCAATAAAAAAAGTTCAAGCACTTTCATTAAAAAAGGATATTGTCGAAATTCTCCAATCTGCTCCAAAGAAGTTTAGTTTGTGTAACCAGTGGAGACGCCGTTGAGTCTTTTTCACAAGCACATCTGTATGACGTTGTTTAAAAAGGCTCAGCAACATAGCACAAGACAAGCCGATTGTGATTCCGCGGTCATTACCTCAGAGGTAATGACTATGCAATCATAGTCATTACACAAAAAAACAGAAACAAATAAAATGTAGTGATGATTGTCAGTACAAAGTACAAGATACATATAAGATCCACGTAAAATGTGTATCAGGATTTCTAATGATTCCAGTAATAGAGAGTCCTGTGCAAAGACTATGTGTGTATCACGCTATACAAATACAGAAACTGAATTTGATTATTACCTCTTACAGTGTAAAGTGAAGAATGCTAATATAACAACATCACTGTCTCACCTCTCTGTCTGCAGTGTCTGACACTGTGGGGAACCTATCCTGCTCAGGAGTGAGCTGGGATTCAATTCAGTTGTTTTGGGAACCCCCAGCCCACCCTAATGGGCAGATTCTTTTTTATGAGATTGCATTGGAGTTAGACCTGCAGTCCTACACACACCAGGCTCACACACAAGAGTACACAGTGAATGGGCTGTCACCAGACCAGGAGTACACACTCACTGTGGCTGCAGTCAACTCTGCAGGACCTGGAGACACAGTAAACTGTACTGCTTCCACTCTATCTGAATCAGGTATTCAGTTTTATTGTAATCTGTAGCAGGTTGGCTTCTAATTGCTTATAAAGCAATGCAGAATCAATACAAAAGTCCTCTTTGTCTCCCTTAACAGTCCCGGCTGCCCCTCGCTTCCTCACCATCTCTCAGGTCTCCCCTAACAATGTGACACTTCAGTGGGCTCCACCGCTCTCCATTCCAGGCCTGCTGAAAGAGTACCACATCATTGCACAGCTGCTTTCAACTGTTTGTGAACCAAACATACTAACTACTGCACAACCGCCCCCAGAGGAAAAACTGATCTCCAGTTGTGTGGACTCTAATGTCACAGTGTCAGTGAATGCTTCAGATGGGACTGAAGAGAACCAAAGCCTCACACTCCAGTCCCTGGCTAAATACAGATACTACCGCTTCAAAGTGGCTGCTGTGACCAACGCTGGAGTGGGAGAATATACAGACTGGAATTATGAACGCACCCTGGCAGGAAGTAAGAACATCACAGTGATGACCTTTTTGTGTTGCCAAAGGAGAGTTGGCAGTTAGTCAGGACCTCAGGAGGAATATTTGACTAATATACTTTTTTTTAACAGGGATCCCAGTAGAAATCATTATGCAGATTGAGTCACTCCTATTCCTATCTAGATTGATGTCAGATGTTTCATTAGTGACTTGGGCCTCTGACATCAAGACCTAGGCAAGGCATTTTATCTCGCTCATGTTTTCATGAAGATCTTTATGGCTTTACCTGTTATAGTGTTATAGGCAGTTATAGCATCGTAATAACATGTAATGTACCATAATAAACTGCTGTTTTGAGAAATTAAAAACATGTTTACATGTTAGGTTGAAACATCTTAATGCATTCAGAATTAGCAGACTGGCAAGATCAATATCTCTTCATGACTTCTTGACAGTGGTTCACATATTCATAGCACTGTATTGCTACCCTGCCCTAAATACATGATTCATCATCAGTGCACAATGTTAAAGCACATCCTAAAATGAAGCAGGCTGCAAATTCATTCAACCCCAGTCCACAGCAATGCTTCACAACTAATTAATAGTCATGTCAGAACACAGACATATGAGCAGATGCAAGAGCCATTATAGGCCATGTGACCACATACTGTATGATAACAGTGTGGCTTACATTTGGTTCGATTAGATTCCAAGTGATTCCAAGCAATGGCATAGAGGAATGATCAATCAACATTAGCACGATAACACAGCAACATTTATCTTATTAACAGACTTTTACCTTCTTTAAAAGTCTGATTATTTATTACCTTTAGGTGTAAAGATCATCTGTGATAAAACACACAGTAAATTGTAATTTAATTTAATTTAATTTAATAGCACATCATAAGTGTGTTTTTTTTTTCTCCTCCCTCAGAACCCGATTCCCCTCCCCGTAACCTGAAAGTGACCCCTACCTCCAACAGCCTTCGCATTGCATGGGAAGCTCCAGCTGTTCTCTCTGGACCGACTTTGTATCTTGTGCAGGTCACCTCATTGAGTTTCATTTTTACACACACACACACATACACACACACACACACGCACACAAATGTGAATATACCACCATTGTAAGTGTCACCACAGTTAGTGATCTCAGACATGGTGTTATGTTTTCATAGTTTTTAAAAGCAGTAGCAGCTTAAAGGCAGGCCAACCTTTATTAAAGTTTTAAATCTTTCCATGAACTCTCCTGTCATACCAGGTGGACGGCCCTGATTTGAACATCTCAACAGTCCGAGCTCCAGGAGAGTTGATGACTGTCATTGTGACTAACTTGACTGCTTTCACTCGTTACTTTGTGACTATCACTGCCTTCACTGGTCCATTGGAGCACGCTGCCAGAGATGGGAAGGCCATTGGGCCTATTGGGTTTCAAACGCTGGAGGAGGGTACGTGGAAATGTACATCTTTGAGCATCTATGACAGCTGCTGCCCACCTGTAAATATGACTGAATATCTATTATTATTTTTCTACTCTGTCCCCAGAACCCAAAGACCCTCCTAAGAACGTGGTTGTATCACTTGTCCCAGAGGAAGTGAACCGTGTGAAGGTGACATTTAGCCCTCCAGAGGAGCCCAATGGAAACATAACCGCCTACTTTGTGTACATCTACGAAAAGGGCCAGCTGGTCAAGAACATTAGCCTTAATATCACCAAAAGAGACCAAAACATGCTGACTGCTGTCATAGAGGGCCTAAAGGGAGGACACAGCTACAGTATGCAGGTGAAGACCACATAAATATTACACACACACACACAGGCATGCTCATTCAGATACACCCTCATTGGTCACACACCTGGAGCTGTAACAGCAGAACAATCTGCCCAAACCCCTATAAGTTTGCCCTTGTTCAAATTGTTTTCTTTCCACCTTTCTGTGCTTGTCCATCTTTTCGACTGTCTTCCTTCCTTTCTTCTATTTGTCTGTTTGTAGATTTCAGCAATAAACGCGGCTGGTAGGAGTCCACCCAGCCCACATGTCCAGATAACTACACAAATCAAAGGTACAAGTCCCTTCTTTTGTGTGTGCTCCGCACTGCTCTACAGTGTTTCTCTCTTTCTTGTTGCAGCAGTGCAGTATAGATGCGAGATTCTGCTGCACAGTATCATTGCTCAGCACAACAGAATGCAGGCCTGTTCTGAAACCTCTGAAAGCAAATGTAGCTCAGTAATACTGTCAGATGTGAGTTGATGTAGAGTTGCAGTTTCACTCTGACTATTATATGTTAATGCTACAGATTAAAATCTTCACACTGTGTTCACACAACTAACCTGTGTGTGTGTGTGTGTGTGTGTGTTGTGTGTGTGTGTGTGTTCACACGTGTATTCTAGCCCCGGCCAAACCAACCCAGAGACCCCAGGCAGTGCTGGGCCATGGAGGGGTTGCCATGGTAACCCACAGGAGTATCACCATCCGCATGCCTGCCTGTTTCTATAGTGACGACAATGGACCAATCACAAAAATTCAGGTCATCGTGGCCGAGTCAGGGGGTATGACTCTTCAGTAACATTGACAGCCATCACTTTTAGTTGAATACACTTGGGTATCAGTCTTGTTTGTGCTTAAAGCTTCAAGTAGAATCTTATTTTATAGTACGTCACTCTGTCCTAAGCTCACAAAAGACCAAATATAAGCAAAAGCCAAAGGGCTTAACGTCAGCAGAAATTTGTCTCAGTCCCCCTGCAATTTTTTCCTCTCTTTCATCCTGTCACAGTGAAGGACATCCAGAACCTGAGCAACTGGAAGCATGCATTTTTTAATCGTCCTGCCCCTTACCTGACCGACAAGGGGTTCCCCAACCCAGCGTGTTTGTTGGGGGACAGGTCGTCACACACAAACCTACATGTCAGAGGTGGTCGCAGTGTGTCTGGAGACAGCCAGACGGCAGAAACATATGTGATCGGACGGGACGATGGCTGTCTAGAGGAGAACAATACTGATAATTTCTGCAATGGGCCTCTGAAGCCTAACACAGTCTATGTGTGAGTGTACCATGCACACACAACTTGTACGTTGAATGTACATGTTTTACAATAGTATAATGCTGACACTGGACTGTTCACCAGGTTTAAGTTCAGAGCCACTAACATCAATGGCCAATACACCGACTCTGAGTACTCAGATCATGTCAAAACTGCAGGTATTTATATTCATCCCAGTATTACTCTACATCAAAAGTGAAAACATAACCTGCATAGCCCCCTTTGTTGTTTTTGTGTAATGTTGTCCATTCTGTCTTCGCTCCCTCTCTCTGCAGTGGACGGGCTGTTGACCAGAGACGAGCAGATCATTCTGGGTGTTCTGCTCTCCTTCTTCTTGGCTGTGTTACTCATCATCATCATCTGTGGCTCAGTCAAGTAAGAAGGAAACAGGCATTGATTCATTTTCCAAAATGCTGCATTGATTTAGTATTAAAGGGAGAGTCTGCATGTTGATATTTGAACTGCAAATACACCCCTCCCTTCAATGCTCAGATTCACATTACATAATTTGCAATAAATCTGTTTCCTTTTTTATTCATTATAATTCTGTGTTTACCTTGTTATTAACAAATGTGTTTGATTGACGTGTCAGGATTCATCAGCGTAAGAAAGAGGGCGGGACTTATTCACCCAGAGAAGCAGAGATCATAGAGACCAAGTGTAAGCTGGATCAGCTGATCGCTGTTGCAGATCTGGAGCTGAAACAAGAAAAACTCAACCGGTTAGTCTGCATGTTTAGATTTGATCTAGAAGCATCACTTTAACAAATATAACAACCATTTTTGGCAGCTGACGCTGGGTGCACACAACATGACTTCATGCTTGATTTAGTTGTTCCAGACAAGATTTTAAATCTAAGTCAACAAGACAAAAATCTCTTTGCTGCAGCCAACATGATGTGCACTCCTGTCATCACAAAATCTTCTAGTGTTGTGCAGAAAATAGAAGCAACAGCACCACAGAACAACACAGGATCATTGTACTTTATAGTTTACCTTCAGTTCTCTGCAGAACAGACAAGTCATCCTATCTGCATCTCTCCCGCCATACACTCATGCAAATTCAGCACCTAGCCTTTCTGCTTGTCTAATTTGGCACAAACAGCTGCACAGACAATAAGTGCTGCAAGCTGGTAAGAAACAAAGTCAAATTCAGTGTTAGTTTTGGTGTTATCAAGGAAACTTATGGCTAAGATGAGGCGAGAAACTACAGGAAAGAAATTTTGAGTTTTTGTTTTTAGATTTGTATTTGCTAATCTAGATAGACATCAGCATTGGAACAACCAATAAGCACAAAAGCTCCTCTCCCCAAATCTAAAGAATACCCACATAATGACAGATTAAAAAAAGAAAACAGAAATAGTGGGATGCGTGTAGGTGTCTGGTAATCGTCAAGAGGATTTAAATGAACATGAACATTAAAAACATAAAACCCACATGAAAGAAGAGAGATAAATAAAAGTGTTTTTCACTTGGCAGATAACTGTCCCTTATCTGTTATGGATAAAAGTAATATAACTGCCCTACTTGAAAAATATTTTCCTGCCTTATTAAACATCCAATATGGAATTTTTTTCTTATACAGTGATTCTTCGCAATTCCTGAGTACAATTCCTGATAGTTCCCGAGGAAGTCATTTTCGCTGTCACACACTTTTAAGAGCACAGTTGCATGTTGTTCTCACCGTAAAGCTGCTCTAGCTGACAGCGTGTCTCTCTGCTCTGTTGATCAGAATCTCTTCATGACTTAGACAGTGGGCTGAGATCTGTATGAACACCACCTTTCTAAGCAGAGTTTATGTTAAAATAACACACTTTTCCTTGTCACTTGTCACTCGAATGGCTCAAATAATTTTCCTTGCACGCAGACACTTGCATTGACTCGCCTTGGCTTTGTTTTTCTCTCATCGAGCACTTTTCTCTCACCAGGTATTCTTCCTTCTTCTTTAGACGGAAAGAAATTTATGTGATCCAGTAAGTTGGGCTTTTGACCAGTGCGTGCCATGTTTTGTTGTGCATGAATTATTTGCATGGTGTACTCACCTTTCTTTTGTCACGATGTATGTCATCATCATCATGTTACCCATTAACGCTCAAGGGAAATCTCTGTGTCTGTGTTGTTTATTTAACCACTGGTGGAAGTCAGCAGATGAATGGATTAGTGACATCAACATTTAGCCTAAAGCCATGCCCTTCCTCCATCACTGGCAGGGACTGCAGAGCTGTGCTAACACTCTTCTGCTTGAAACCAGTTTAATATGTTAACCCATTCACTATCTTGAAATTGCTTGAAAGACCTAGCGGTCTTAGATGGCACAAATGGTGAGCGGCATCGTTAGCTAAGGATATGCGTAGCAACAAACCTTCAGGAAGAAACGCCAGCCACAAGGGACTAACCACATTCTTCACATAATTGTATTCCTTTAGATCAAAACATTAAAGTCAGTGTCAGTGGATTTGATTAAAGATGGTCGGGCCTCCTTTGCTTAAACATAAAATGCCATGTACACTCATTGTGCATTGAGGATCAGTTCCGCTGTCAAGGACAAAAATACTACATTGTGGGTTCTGATTTTTGAGGTAATTTGTTTATTTTGGTTGATCTTTACTGTCTATTTTTGTCCAGGCTGCTCAGCTACAGGAAATCACTCAAGTAAGTCATCCTGCATTAACATGCACACAGTAGCTGCAGCGTAGATGAGCATGTCCTGTACTGCTCAATGTTACATGTTGTAACCTAGAATAAACGTACAAAAAATAGCAGGGTTTTTCTCCTCTCTCTGTTTCTCACACCTAGTGTACTTCTCTCCTTGCCTCTCTGTCAGGCCTGTCAACAAAAAGTCTTTTCTGCAGCACGTAGAGGATCTGTGTGCCAATGACAATGCCAAGTTCCAGGAAGAGTTTGCTGTAAGTGTTTGCCTACAAGCCGGACCGGTGTTTATCAAACATCTAACAATGTGTAAATTATGAATGGGATTAAATAATTGAAAATTGCCGGGAATTGACAAAAAAACAACAACCAAACGGGAGCATGAAGGAAAATCTGCAAATAGACAAAGAAAACCGAAACAAAATCAATGCCAGTTTTATTCTTGTTTTTTGGAACCCCTCACAAGTTAAAAGAAAAAGGTACAACATCCTGTCAAAGAAGCATTTGGAGATAGCTGCAAATAGTAAGATAAAACTACCCTATTCTAAATTATACATACTGCTTTATTTATTATTCATCCTGACCAATGATGTATACTCATTACCTAACACGTGTCAGATGATCCTCTGCCGCCGTCTCTGTACTGCAGCCACCTAAGACGCCAACAAGTTATTCTTAACCAATTTAGAGACCTCTGGCCCGCTCTTAAATGTAACAGTATTTTTAAAGTCAAAGATTTGATAAATTACTTTTTTTCTAAAGTTTATAAAAGAGACACATTTCTACTTTTATCTTTCACTTAAGTCCATAGTTTAACTTTTAGCAGTTTGAAAAATGCTGTTCCTGACTTTTAACCTCTTATATGTGCATTTATGTGAATACTGCTGCATTACATCTTTATCTCCCCAGGAGCTTCCAAAGCTGCTGCAGGACCTGGCCACCACAGACGCCGAACTGCCCTGGAACAAATCAAAAAACCGCTTTCCCAACATCAAACCATGTAAGCTTTCCAGTGGCATGATACTTACAGTATACCAACATTTATTTGTGTATTAGCATTTAACTGTCTATGTATTTCATTACTGTTGCACAGCTGCATTTCAACTCCCATTTCTACCCCTCTCTTCTCACTAAACTGTGCCTAGATAATAACAACCGAGTGAAGCTGCTGTCAGAACCGGGAACTGCGGGCTCTGACTACATCAACGGCAGCTTTGTCTCAGTGAGTACCATCTATCAGCTGCTACAAGCCCAGTGGTTAACCTGGAGGGTCGCTTCCACTTCATCAGTCATTAAGTTAAGAAGTGGTTATGCAGGCATGAGACACAGTTGCAACTAGAGGAGTTTGTTGTACATTTCGCCCCGTCCCTTTCTGATTCTGTAAGAAGGATAGATACAAACACAGATACTCTTAGCTTATTAATTAGGTTCATTTAATCTTTTCAACAGTGAAGAATGTTGCTGAAGGCATTTTTAAGATGTCAAACATAAACCTCTCTCTCTTTTTCTCTGTCTCTAGGGCTACCTTTGTCCCAATGAGTTCATAGCCACCCAGGGTCCTCTACCTGGCACAGTGGCTGATTTCTGGAGGATGATCTGGGAAACTGGAACGCACACCATCGCCATGCTCACGCAATGTTACGAGAAAGGCAGAGTGCGTCTTGAGAGACTTGCCCCTGTTATGGAATAGCATTCAGAGGACAGGCTAGGCTCCTTTTTGGGCTCCATTACAACAGCAGGATGGTTCTGCTACGAAGATCTGATTAATGTGTGTGTGTGTGTGTGTATGTGTGTGTGTGTGTGTCTGTGACATTTCAGATTCGGTGTCATAAGTACTGGCCAGAGGACAATAAGCCAATGTCAGTGTTTAGTGACATTCTCATCTCCAAAGTGTCAGAGGAAGTCCTTCCTGACTGGACTGTCAGAACTCTAAAAGTAGAAAAGGTAACTAAACTAATAACCCCTCTCACACACACACACAGACACACACAGACAAACCACTTAAATAGTTAAACATTTGGGGTAATTCGCTTACACACCCTCTTACTGAGAGGTCGATGAGAAGATTGGTACCATTCTCATGTCTTTTCAGTAAATTTTTGTTTGTTTGCATTTTCTTGTATGAATTCCTCTGTGCAGCACGGGCAGTACATTCTGGTCCGCCACTTCAACTACACGTCATGGCCTGAGCACGGAGTCCCAGAGTCCTGCAGCACTCTCATTAAGTTTGTCCGAGCTGTCCGAGCCCACCGGCACGACAACACCACTATAGTGGTCCACTGCAGGTACTGTGGCACGTCACTGACATGCATAAATTACAGTAAGGTTCTTAAAAGTAAGTGCACTAACTACTTTATTCTGTTTCTGTTGATTAAATTGAGTTTCATATAAACAAAGTCCATCCGTAAATGGCATTACTGTCATTACTAAAATCGTCTTCTGTTCCTTTCGTGCTTAACCCACAAATAGAGAACACTATAAACCTCTATGTCATCTTCAGTGTAATAAAGCAGCAGACAGTATAATGGTGTGTTGTCGTCTGTCTGTTCCTTAGTGCTGGTGTGGGCAGAACAGGTGTGTTCATCGCTCTTGACCACCTCATTCAGCACGTCAGAGATCACGACTTTGTGGATATTTATGGTCTGGTTGCTGAACTGCGCAGCGAGAGGATGTGTATGGTACAGAATCTGGTGAGTTCAAATCAAATACAGTACTGTATTTTTTTCCCCTGTGGTTAAATTTCACAACCCAGAGAGAATACACAAAATACAAGAAAAGGAGTATCATACAGTATTTTGTCTTAAGTTGTTCCAGTACAAATTGCAAAGTAGTTGTCCTACTTTTTACTTCATGCCCTGCTGTGATCCCATCCCCAAGAGGAAATGTTAGGAAAATTCTTGTTTTCACAAAGGGAATGATCTGGCAATGGATTAAAGGCATGTGCTGAGCAGGATTCCCCTTCTTGAAACAGCATCAACCTATCCTAAAATTACCCTGTTCAGTCATTACTTATGGACCTGTGGTGTGTGTCTCGGTGTCTGCAGGGACGCTCTGCCCAGTGCCTGGGCGTCTTCTCAGTTTTATTGTTTTATTATTTCCTGAGGTTCTGTGCTTTTCTTTGTGTCCACATTTTTAACAGTGAGTTATGAGCCTGCAGCTACAAGAGCTGCTTGCAACCTGCGATGGCATGATTCTTTGAGACAGCAGTGTTCAGTGTGCCAGACAGCTAGCCATTAGCAGTGTAGTCCAGTCATATACGAACAAGATCCTCAGCTTTAAGAGGGTGTCAGTCAGATTCAGATATTTTATAAACTTACAAACTGCTGGAGCACAGTGCCTTTGCAGACAGCTTTAGACATGCCCACAGTGTAACCCTTTTATTTAAAACACGAAGTAAAAACACAGGCAATGAATTATAACTAGCATTTCAGGCACATTCACTTAAGTTTTCACTTTCAAAGACATTTCCTTGATAAGTGAATTGAATAAGGGATATATTAAAACCTGTCTAGTGGTCTGGCTGCTTCAGTTGCCATACTGAACTGCCTAAGAGGCAGTTTGTACAAACACATACATTTGCGTTAAATTCAGCTTTAGTAGGTACAAAATGTCAGATGTCACCATACAGGTAGGACTAGTAAAAAATTGGTTGTCAGGCCTAGGAGATTACAGTTAAGTCTTGGCTATACCAGCTACTAACAGAACATACGTATAGCGCATGCCTTAGTCGCCAACACAAGAAAGGATGCAGGCCTTAACTGAACTGCAGTGAACTAGGATTACTCTCTGCCGTTGCTCCGCTCATTCCCTGCTCTACTAAGTGGTTGGGCCAGTGCAGCCGTGCATTGAGCTTGACGTTGGTTTCAGTTCATTTAGGTTAACAAATGGACGCAGACTTGGACTATACCAAAATCCTTCAGGAAGGAAGGTTATCAGTCACTCTCCATCACAGTCCCAACGACAGTCCCTGAGCCAGGGAAGGACACTAATGGGCATGCTCTACGGGCCAAAAAAACACAAAAGCATGAGGAAGCCTGAATAAACTTTTTCGTTCAGTGAGCAACTTTATTTGAATGAATTAAGCTCTGATAGGTTTGTGTCCCGACCTAAGTGATAATCTTGATTGCATGTAAGTGATCCAAAATTCATGTGCTTTTTACACAATTTTGTGAAAAGAATATTGTTGTCAATCAGATCAGAGTTGTTGCAATTACATGGTCAGCCTCAGCCACCACTTGCTCAGTATCTGTCAATGTGTGTGTGCGTATGTGTGTGTGTGTGTGTGTGTGTGTGTGTGTGTCAGGCCCAGTACATCTTCCTGCACCAAAGTACGCTGGAACTTCTAAACAACAAAGGCAACAGCCAATCCATCTGGTTTGTCAGCTATTCTGCTCTGGAAAAGATGGACTCCTTGGATGCCATGGAAGGTAAACAACACCATATGAACACACACTCAAATAAACCACACACCCACCACAGCACGGGACTCACGCCACACATTTGTACTGGTCTTCAGGTGATGTTGAGCTGGAATGGGAGGAGACCACTATGTAAAGACAGAAGGGAGATTTGTTTTCGAGGGCATTGGGACGCAACCTGTGCACACACTCATGGACTGGACTGTTACCACCACACAAGGTTAGAGGAAGGAGGAAGAGGAGGAGGTGAACAGCACAGTCTGAACTGAACTGTCCGTCAGTCGACTAAGACTTTGTTGCTCCACTTCACCCCACTTCTCAGTGCAGTCCTCCCTTTAATGAACCTCTTGTCCACTTGTTTTTCCAAGAGTGAGAGAAACAACAGACAGTGATAAAGTGGTAGCACTCTATAATCAAGCATTAGTAAATACGGAATTCATCATTTATAAACCATTGTTCTTACGTTAACACACATTAGTAAGTCATTTATAAACATAGTTATACATGTTATATTCTTTATTAATAAGCTCATCTATAATGTGCTTAATAATTGTATTTTCATACTTTATAGGTTCACAATTTTAAATTAAGTATTATTTTAAAGACAAACCATTTAGACATGAGTTGTTAATGGTTCATAAGATCATTTGGAAAGTGTAAGAAAATTATTACATAACTGCCTGTTTTTTGATACTTTCCCAAGAAAGAATATAATCTCACCATAACTCGTAAATCTACTAGTGGCAAAGCCCAAAGGATGCTACTAAGACTACCCGAAAGATGCCCCAGCTAACTTTACTGGGTAAAAGCCTCACCGTTACAGGCCTGGTATCTTTTCTCTGAACTCCTCATCAAAACTCCAAGATCTGTGCTTCCAGAGATCTGCTGTGATGGGACCAGCAAAGGGTTGCTTAGATAGTGTTGAAGGACTATTAGTTACTAATGGTTAGTAAAGTATTTTTTCATCTAAAGTAAGGACTGTCTATGCCTCATTAAACATTTACAAATTAAATTTATTCTCTATATTTCTATACTTATTCTCTAAATATCTGTTAAAAATGTATTTCATGATTAATTCAGGTAGTTACAAAGCATTTACTAGTTGTTAATAAGTACTTTGTGTGCACTCATCTAAAGTGAGGACTATCTATGCCTTACAAAGCATTTACTAATGATATTATAACACACAAGAATCAGTTATCTTCTGAACAGAAAAAGGAAACAGACACAACACAAAGTGATACCAAACATATTTTTTATTACAAAATGCCTTTCAGCCATTCGTTCCTAAAAAACACATCATAACTGTTGATATAAAATGAACCATCTACAACCCAACCCGTTCTCACTCCCAAGTCCTCACATGTGGATCAATGGTCAATGTACTGGGGAAAGCCCTGTAGCATAGTTTTTGAATGCTAAAAACAGGTGTAGAATATTTAACAATAGTGTAGCACTTTAGCTAACTTACCAACCTAGGTTCAGAGGAGTAGTGTTGGGGTAAGAAATAGACTCTTATAGCTCTTTCATAAAAAATACAATTTTAAAAAGTGTCCAGTGTCTTTCACTTATTTGTATCTCTACCCAGGCAGGATTATTAACGTGTGGTGGATCTTTCTTATCTGCCATTGTCCTGTAATCTGATGTGTCAGTCCTGTTGAAGGGGTTTTCGAAGCAGCTCATCATACAGGCTGCATCATCTCTGGGACTAGCTCGCCATCAACATCCAGCGAAGACCTACAATCCAGGGTCTCAAAAAGTAGTCTGCACATACAGTGCAGAATAAATCAGATAAATCATCACAGTCAATGTTATGTTCAAATAACATATCATCCCGTTTGTCAAAACTCAATATCATCATCCTGTTGTCTAGGGACTCTTCTTAAGTTTTACATTGTTATAACGTTACCAAAGATTTATAACTTTACCAGGTAGCATTTAAGCAAGACATCACTACTATGAATTAATTAAATTTCACCAACTCTCAACATTACATTACATTAAATTAAACCAAATAATACTGAACAGAGTTTACACATTTTAGGCAAGGAAATTATCGTTAACATGTATTATCATAAATACTGTAAATAAAAATACCTCTGAAGGTACTACATGTGCTTACACATCCAAAAACTACCTCCAGAGATTAGTTTGAAGCCACGACACAACAAAATACTGTTGAACAGTTCACGACATCATGTTCACAACATCCTCCAACTGCTTTTAACCTACAGTAACGTTATATGTTTTTAACTCACTCATTTAGGCTAGCATCACGCTGCACTTTTAGCTCTCTCCTAAAGGTTACAATACAAAGTTACTCACCGGAGTTTCCAGGCTCCTTCGGCAAATGGCGGCATTCAAAAATCCCAAGTGATGGTGTTTTTACAATTAAGACCCGCTTCTGGGCCCGTGAGATCTTGTTTTCCCTACTGCGTCTTTTCCCGCTTCTCTCTGTTCTTCCTCGGTGCGGTCTGGCGCTAAAGTGAGCGCACACTGCAGAGATTACTGGATGCAACGAGGGTCAAAATAGCGCTGCTTTAAGGCCCGTATTTTTTATATGGGCTACAGTCTATGGGAGGGAGGAGACATGGTTGAGATGGTTGAGAAAAAAGCTGAGGCTTAAGAAGCCTAACTGAAACTTTTTTCAGTCTCATTTGTAATGCTTTGTTTGGCTTCCAGAGTCCTTACTTTAGAGGGGAAATACTTACTAAATAATTTCCTTAAACTTTCTACATGATCGTATGAACCATAGGCACATATATATAGTTTTTCATTGGAATAATACTTTTTATCAAATACAATCATTAAGCACATCATTGATGAGCTGGTAGTGATAGATGATCTGTCTTAGAGACATGGCAGGCCTGTAATGGTGAGGCTTTTCCACACCACCAGTAACGTTAGCTGGGACATCTTTCGGGTAGTCTTAGTAGCATCCTTTGGGCTTTGCCACTGGTAGATATACGCAAGACTGTTTATATTCTTTCTCGGGAAAGTATCAAAAAACAGGCAGTTAGCCTATGTAATAATTTTATGATCCATTAACAAATCATATATAAATGGTTTGTCAATAATACTTCATTTATAAATAGTGAATCGATCATATATAAAGTATGAAAATACAATTATTAAGCAAATTATAGATGAGCTTATTAATAAAGAATAAAATATTTATAACTGTGTTTATGAATGATTTACTGATGTGTATTAATGTATGAACAATGCTTTATAAATGATGAATTCCGTATTTACTAATGCTTAACTAATGCTTTATAGTGTGTAGTTATTATAAAGTGCTACCGATAAAGTATTTTAGAAACGACAGGGAGAAAAGAGTGAAACGGTGAGCTGATTGTGAGAGCTCTATCACATCTGTAAGCCTACAGGCACTTTGCACAAATTGATTTCACTGTGTATTGTATTTACTGTATTATGTGGATATCATCTATGTTTTTGTAAGATAATTTATTCTGCCAAAATGGTGTTGTTGTTTTTTCAATCTCTTTGTAATTCTGCCTGTGTCGAAGCGTTGACAGTATTTCTGTTTTGTTTATCCTTTCTCAAGAGTGATTTGCAAAAATAAAAGAAAATTGTATTTTTTTCTGGCCTTGATGTGAAAACACTCAAGAGCTTTCCCATGAGACTCTCTCACATCAGATGTAACCGTTTTGACATTGCAAGATGAAATTACAAATTACCAACTTGCTGGTCTTGTTTAGAGGACGGGCGAATTATGTACTCCAAATCATGCGCACACACACACACACACACACACACACACTCACTACAACACACAACTTCACATTCCACAAGCAGAAGTGAGATTCAATATTGCTTTGAGGCTGACCTCATCCACTAATGAATGAGTTCAGACCCAGTGTGTTGGGTGAACGCAGAAACACCGGTGTAGACTGATTTCCCATAAGCTTCTTCATTCCACTGTCCTCCTTGCACACCTGGTGCAAATTCATTCATTAGAGAGGCCGGGAGTGCTACAGACACAGATGCTGTGGAAACACACAGACAGACAGTCCGAGAGTAAAAACTACTTTATTCTTTCATTCTCTTCAAACAGAAAAAATTAGAAATATTCCATTAGTAAACATGTTGATCTTTAAGAAATCTCCTTTTTAGAAATATTGTGAGGGTGCAAAGATAAATGACAGTGCTCCACAGAGAGGATGCAGATTGGTGTGTCTCCATGACAACCACGGAGAAGGCGGATGGGGGTCGGGTGGGGGGGTGCAAGGGGCCGGGCAGGAAGGAGGGAGGAAGTAGAGAGAGGAGAGAAAATGACATCAATCAACCCAACATGCCCTGACAATAATGATACAAACATATAATTAAAACCTGTGTACTGGAAATGAAATAAATAAATAAAAACCCAAAATATATCATGCCGTATAGTACAGGTCAGTTAGAGTTTACAGTAAACAAAGTGGGGTTGCTGACTTGAGAAATCAAGCAGTTTCTAAGGTGAATCTAAGCTGGATGTGTTGTTGCTTTGGCAGCTATGTGCATGTTTGTGTACATCAGTGTGTTATTGTGTATGCACTCTGTGTGTGTGTGTACGTGTGTGCATGACCTGTGATTTACTGCGCGTATTCACAAATACAGCATAGCCCTTTACACACCCTAACAGGTGACACAACCATCTTTTGATAATCCTGTAATAATATGACACGGTAATTTAATGATGAATGTAGATCTGTAATAATATCAGTGTGTGTTACTATGGTAACTGGAGTTTGATCTATAAAAGCTGCCTGTTTCCCGTCTCTCGTAGCAGTAGGATTTAGGACACCACCTGATATTAAATGTGAATAATAATAACTATAATAACTTTAATATCCTTTTTTGTCTTTTAAACTATATCTTCTCTGTACAAATACATACGTAGATACACATACACACTGGGCAAACCAATCACTTTTTCAGAATAAATCTATATTATCTATTTACAATATATCCAATATATTCTGTGGTGCAAAAACTACAAGATGTGTTTGGTGTATCTCAGTTGGATCATTTGTTATCTGCTGTACAAACTGGCTCAAGCTCAAACCATCGACACTGGACAGAAGACTTATTATTCTATGGACATCTTCGGTTTTCCCCCTGATTAACATTCAGTAAAGGAATGCATCTCTGCTAACATTTTCACTGTGCAAGGAAAAATATAATACGTGAGAGGGGAGTGATGCTTTTATGAGGTGACCTTGGTCTACCCTGTGTGGAGCAATTTTTATTAATTTTTAAACTAAAGCTAAGAGTTTTCTGGGCAGAGGTATTGCCTTAATCCAAAGGTAAAAACAATATTCACACAAGGTAACCTATTAGAGTAAATGTGCAGGTGGAGAAAGGCTTCATCTGGCTGTTTAGTAGTTTAGAATGTTTTGGATGAATTACCAGCCCTACTCCCTGGTGCCCATGAGTAAGCAGACTGAACACACAGTA